CCCTGAGGCTGTTTTTTGCCCTCTGAGGTGGTTTTTGCCCCCTGAGGTTGTTTTTTGTGCCCTCTCAGAGTGGTTTTCTTGTGTCCTTTCAGGGTGGCTTTTTTGCCCTCTGAGGCTGTTTTTGTGCCCTCTGAGGTGTTTTTTATGCCCTCTGAGGGTTTCAGGCACACAAAGAACCCAAATCCCCGCGAGCGCTTTCGCTTCCTCATAACGGAGGCTCCTCATCTTCAACCTCATCTTTCTTTTCAAACATCACTCCCCTGCTGGAGGTTCAGCCACCTTCCAGAGACCACCTTGATGGTGTTAAATATTTATTTACAATCACTGAGGTGGAAGTTTTGTCCCACTCTCAGCTCCCCACCCTCAGCAGCCCCAAACACCCCGCGTTATTCCAGCACGGCAAAACAACACCCATCCCTTCTTCCCCCCACGCCAGGGCAGCACCACAACTCCCCCAAGCTCTGAGGATTCATTTTATCCCTTTAATCTCTTTTTCCCCTCAGAGTTTCAGGCTGGTTTCCCCCGAGCAGGCCCTGAAGGAGCTGGGGCTGACTGAGCATCAGCTGCGCTTCACCTGCCGCGTGCACATCCAGGACCCGCGCAAGGAGCACGAGACCGTGCTCAGGGTCTACAACCACCTCAAGGGGTGAGCCCTGAGCCCTGCCTGGCCTTTTCTGGCCCTCAGGGATTCACTTGATTCCTTTATCCCCATGGGTTTTTATCCCCACGTGTTTTTAAGGTCGTGTTTCCAAGCATGGGCTTGGAAAATGTAAAGGAAGTGGAACAAACCCGAGCAAAACTTGGAGGAAGTGGAACATCTCTCCAGGCACCTTGGTTTGGAAGGTGTCTGCTTAAGGAAGGCAGGAGCCTGCCCTGAAATGGAAAAATCAGTTGATTTCTTTATCCCCATGTGTTTTTAAGGCCATATTCCCAAGCATGGGCTTGGAAAATTTAAAGGAAGTGGAACAAGCCCAAGTAAAAAGTGGAACATCTCTCCAGCCACTGCTTGAGAGAATTGTCTTGATTTGGAAGGAGGTTTCTGCTTAAGGAAGGCAGGAGCCTGCCCTGAAATGCAAAATCAGTTGATTTCTTTATCCCCATGGCTTTTTAAGCCAAATTTTCCAAACATGGGGTTGGAAAATTAAAAGGAAATGGAACAAACCCAACCAAAACTTGGAGGAAGTGGAACATCTCTCCAGCCACTGCTCAAGACAATTGTCTTGGTTTGGAAGGAGGTTTCTGCTTAAGGAAGGCAGGAGACTTCCCTGAAATGGAAAATGTAAATCCCTTCCCTCTGAATTATTATAATTTTGGAATTAAGGGGCTCTCAGGCAAAGATATGGGAAAAGTATGACAGTTCTTTATTAGGAAAATTAAAAAAAAAAACAAATGCAATAGTACAAAAAGAAAAAAACCACTGCCAGAGTCAGAAGAGGAGCTGGAGCCCCATCCCAGGGGGGCTCAGCCCTCCTGCAGTGCCAGCTGTGCTTCTGCTGGAGCAGGGATCCTGCACAAGGGGGGAGTTTTCCTCTGGAGCTCCAGGGCTGCTGGGGATGGGGCTGGTGTTCCTCTGGAATGCAGGGGAGAGGAAAGCTGCTCCTCTGGAATGCAGTGGGAAAAGGCTGATCCCTTGGGAATCCAGTGGAGAGGAAAGCTGCTCCTCTGGAATGCAGTGGGAAAAGGCTGATCCTTTGGGAATCCAGTCAAGAAAGCTGCTCCTTTGGGAATGCAGTGGGAAAGGGCTGATCCTTTGGGAATGCAGTGGGAATAGGGCTGATCCTTCAGGAATCCAGTCAAGAAAGCTGCTCCTCTGGGAATGCAGAGAGGAAAAGGCTGATCCTTTGGGAATCCAGTGGAGAGGAAAGCTGCTCCTCTGGGGATCCAGTGGGAAAAGGCTGCTCCTTTGGGAATCCAGTCAAGAAAGCTGCTCCTTTGGGAATGCAGTGGGAAAGGGCTGATCCTTTGGGAATCCAGTGAAGAAAGCTGCTCCTCTGGGGATCCTCCTGTTTTTTCCAGACAGAGCAGAATGATTTCTTTGCAGGGAATCAGAAACCCACCATCCCTGTGGGGCCGCTGGGTTATTTTGGCAGCTCAGCTGTGGCACAGGGGCCCTTCCTTTGAGCTGGCAGCAGCAGAATGGTAAAATTTGGTTTTCCCTCCATGCAGCTGCTGCTCCCTGAGCTCTTCCCTCAGGGCAGGGCTCGGGCTGAGCTGGGTGAACTCTGCAGGAACCATTGGAAACACCACAACGAGCTGTGCCTCAGCCACAGGAGCCAGGAACGGGCTGGGATTTGGGGTGCAAACCCAGCATTTATTCCCCCAAATCCCAAATTTCCGCTCTCCTTGCAGGGTCCTGAAGGATTACTCCGTGCAGCACCTCCCTGACGGCTCCATCACTGTGGAGTCCATCCTGATCCAGGCCACAGCTCACTCCGAGGACCAAGGAACCAAAGTCCTGCTCGTCTCCTGGACCTACCAGGTGGGAATTGCTCATTTCCAGCCCCAGCTCCCATCCCAAACCTCCCTCCTCTGCCTTGGAGGGAACTTGGAAGATGAGGGCAGTCCCTGCTGTTTGCTGAGCTTTTGGGGTTGAGCACAAATGGTTTCCCAGCTCTGTAAGGCACAGAACTTCTGGGGTAATTCCACTTAATTCAGTTCTGAATTAAATATTTCACTTTGTATTTCTAGGAAAATTTCAAAAAAGTGCAGAACTATTTCTGATTTTAACATTCTGTTATTTGAGTCATCCCAGCACCTTCCCTTTCTGTGGCTGGATTATTAAACTTTCTGGGTTATTAAACCTGGATTATTAAAATTGCTGGATTATTAAAATTTCTGGATTATTAAAATTTCTGGATTATTAAACCTAGATTATTAAACTTTCTGGGTTATTAGACCTGGATTATTAAAATTGCTGGATTATTAAAATTTCTGGATTATTAAACCTAGATTATTAAACTTTCTGGGTTATTAAACTTTCTGGGTTATTAAACCTGGATTATTAAATTTGCTGGATTATTAAAATTGCTGGATTATTAAACCTAGATTATTAAACTTTCTGGGTTATTAAACTTTCTGGATTATTAAATTTGCTGGATTATTAAACTTTCTAGATTATTAAACCTTCTAGACTATTAAACTTTCTGGATTATTAAACATTCCAGATTATTAAATTTGCTGAATTATTGAATTTGCTGGATTACTAAAGTTTCTGGATTATTAAACATTCTAGATTTTTAAACTTGCTGGATTATTAAACTTTCTTGACAGCAAGGGAATTCCTTTGGAAGGCAGAGCAATAAAATCAGTTTATTCTTGATTTCAAGCACGAATGGAGCTTTTCCTCAAAGGAAACCCTCAGGCCCTTTGGGAGGTGGGAGTTTCACAGCAATAATTTGTCAGGAACAGCCAGAAATGAATTTTTGGGTTGTTGCAGTTTTTAAACACAGCTCCCACGAGGTCCTGCAGGCTCCAGGAATTGTCTCCCTTCATTCCCAAATTTCCTGCCCCGGCTGGGACAGTGGAAGGAAGATGTTGCTCTCACCCTGGTTTTGTTTTTGTGCCTTTCAGGATGAAGAGCTGGGCAGTTATCTCACGTCCCTGCTGAAGAAGGGGCTGCCCCAGAGCACCCCCTGAGAGCAGAGATTTCTTTTTTATTTTATTTGAACTCTCAGTGCTTTCTTCTGCTCGGTTTTAATAAAAGAATTCCAGTGTTTGTTCGATTCCTGCGGTGACACCAGCACTGGGACTTTGGAATTTGGATAAAAAAAAAACTTATCCAGGGAGTCAAGAACCCTTTTTGTAACATTGGGGAGCAATTTGGGATGAAAACCCAGCGTTTGTTTTCCCAAATAAATCCTAAATTCAAAAAAAAATCCCAAATAAATCCCAAACACATTCAAGTAAAAGTTACTCAGCTGAATTCTCTTCAAATCCCCTCAGTGCTGCTTGAAACTGATAAAATTCAAAGTGTAAATATATTTATATAAATTATATTTATATAAATATACTTCTATTTGTATAAATATATTTCTATAAATATTTATAGAAATGAATGAATAAATAAAAATAAATGAATATATTTAGTATAAGTAATATTTATGCCCAATGTTGATTTTATTCAGGGCAAGCAGGCAGAGCTGAGTGGTTCAAATCAAATAATAAATGTTATTTAAATAATAAAGATAAATATGAGCTCTTTGCTCCCTGGTTAAAATTAAATTATAGCTATTGTTTAAATAATTTTGCATTTTTTATTGTGAAATGTTGGTGGTTTTTGTAATCTTTATTTTAATGCTGTGTGGGAAATGGGTTTGTAGGAAATTCTTCAGAATTTGTAGAAATTTCTTAAAATTTGTTTAAAAAAATAAATAAATTTCAGAATTTTCTAGAAACCCAGTTCCCACATTGCTGCATTTTCTGCTCTGCTCTCAGCCTGCCTCCCACACACCCACAGAAAAAACAAAATCTAAAAACATAAAATCTAAAAATATAAAAACAAAATCTAAAAATATAAAAGCAAAATATAAAAATATAAAAATCACCCGGCCCCTCTCCTCCCTCCTGCTGAGGCAGCAGAAGCTCAGAGACATTCTGACAATTGTGACAGAGAGGCTTTAAATTCAGAAAAAAGCAGAAAAAATGAGAAAAAAATCAGAAAAATTCAGAAAAAATTCAGAAAAAAAATCAGAAAAAAATCAGAAAGAAATCAGAAAAATTCAGAAAAAAATCTGAAAAAAAATCAGAGAAGAAAAACCTGAAAAAAATTGAAAAAACCTAAAAAAATCCAGAAAAAATCAGAAAAAAAAGGAAAAAATCAGAAAAAATCTTGGAAAAGCTGGGACCTGCTTCACTCCCCTCCCTCCCCGCTGGAAGCAGAATTTTTTATCATTTAGGAATGATAAAAAAACAGGATTTTTTATCATTTAGGAATGGAGGAACTGAGAGGGGTTTGAAAAAATTTCTGGTGTTATGGGAAGGGTGAGACAATAGAGATGCTGTAATTTTTCTAATTGTTTAATTAGTTTTATAAATAATTTATCATTTCCTTTCAGCTCAGCTCGCAGAGCTCCTCTTCTGCTGGGGCACTCGGGGTGGCCAAATCTGAGGGAAGAGCAGAAAAAACATTGATTTAGGGAAAAATATTGATTTATGGAAAAAATATTGATTATGGGGAAAAATATTGATTTAGGGAAAAATATTGATTAAGGGAAAGGAAATATTGATTTAGGGGTAAAGGAAATATTGATTTAGGGGAAAAATATTGATTTAGGGAAAGGAAATATTGATTTAGAGGAAAGATACTGATTTAGGGAAAAGGAAACATTGATTTAGGGGAAAAAATTAATTTAGGGGAAAATAATATATTGATTATGGGGAAAAGAAAATATTGATTTGGGGGAAAAATACTGATTATGGGGAAAAGAAAACACTGATTTTGGGGAAAAGGAAATATTGATTTAGGGGGAAAGAATATATTGATTATGGGGAAAAGGAAATATTGATTTAGGGGGAAAGAAAATATTGATTTAGGGTAGAAATATTGATTTAGGGGAAAAGAAGGTTCTGGAAGCAGCTGGGATCTGCTTCACTCCCCCATCCCTCCCCACTGGAGGTTTTTGTGATTTAGAGATGGGGAAACTGAGAGATGTTTCAGAAACATTTATTCTATTTTTAGTGTTATGTGGAGGGCGAGACAATAACGATCATTTTTATAATTAATTATGCTAGAATTGATGTTCTAGATGTTATCATTTCCTCCCACAGGAGGAAAAAAACACCCCAAAATACCAAAAGCACGCAGCCGCACTCCTTGCTCCTGCTGAGGAGGAGCGAAGGACCATTGATCAATGGATAATTACCGATTAGTTAATCAATTAAGCCATGCCCACCTGCCTGGCTGTACTCCACGCTGTGCAGGAAGAGCCCCGAGGCCGGGGCCACGGCGTGCGGGGGCAGCGCCCGGGGGTCCCGGAGCTGCAGCAGCTCCTGCAGCTGCCCGGGGGCCAGCCTGCCCTGGCCCACGGCCACCAGGGCCCCCACCATCCTCCTGACCTGCGCGGAGGGACAGGAGAGCTGGCTTCAGCCACACAGGAACCGGCCTGGCTCAGGTCCAGGCCCAGCCTGGTGTGACCGACCCAGCCCCGGTGTCACCAACCCAGCCCTGGTGTCACCAACCCAGCTCTGGAGTGACCAACCCAGCCCCGGTGTCACCAACCCAACCCTGGAGTCACCAACCCAGCCCTGGTGTCACCAACCCAGCCCTGGTGTGACCAAACCCAATCCTGGTGTCACCAACCCAGCCTGGAGTCACCAACCCAATCCTGGTGTGACCAACTCAACCCTGGTGTGACCAAACCCAATCCTGGTGTGACCAAACCCAGCCCTGGAGTGACCAACCCCACCCTGGTGTCACCAACCCAGCCTGGTGTGACCAAACCCAACCCTGGTGTGACCAAACCCAACCCTGGTGTGACCAACCCAGCCTGGAGTCCCCAACCCAGAGCCTGGAGTGGAATCACCAACCCAGCCCTGGTGTGACCAACCCAATCCTGGTGTGACCAAACCCAATCCTGGTGTCACCAACCCAGCCCTGGAGTCACCAAATCCAACCCTGGAGTCACCAACCCAATCCTGGTGTGACCAACCCAGCCCCGGTGTCACCAACCCAACCTGGTGTCACCAACCCAACCCTGGTGTCACCAACCCAACCCTGGTGTCACCAACCCAGCCCCGGTGTCACCAACCCAACCTGGTGTCACCAACCCAACCTGGTGTCACCAACCCAGCCCTGGTGTCACCAAACCAACCCTGGCTGCTCCTGGTGTGCCTTTGGGCTCATCCAGGGAGCATTTCTGTCCCTTAGTCCCACCCAAACCCTCCCTGCAGTGCTGAACAAATCCCTGCACTGAGTTTGTGACCCGTTAATTAAAATAATTAACAAACCAAAGCCCACTGAGCAACCTGCTCACGATTATCGCTTAAAAAAGGTCAAAAGATTCAAGGGCTTTTTATGCAGAGGGAAATTTTGGCATCCTGGAGTGCCCAGAATTTCTCCCCAAGCAGCTCAAATCCCCCCCTCTGTTATTTCATCCTCCCTCACTAGAGGTCATTGCATGCCACGACTTTGCTGCCTCCACATTCAGGAAAAATCTGATTTTTGGCACCCACCAGACTGAAAATCAAATTAAAACAATCAGATTTCTGGCACCCATCAGATTAAAAATCAAATTAAAAATCAGATTATTGGCACCCATCAGGTTAAAAATCTGATTATTGGCACCCATCAGATTAAAATCTGATTAAAAATCAGATTTTTGGCACCCATCAGATTTAAAATCAGATTATTGGCAGCCACCAGAATAAAAATCTGATTATTGGCACCCATCAGATTAAAAAAATCAGATTATTGGCACCCATCAGATTAAAAATCTGATTAAAAATCAGATTATTGGCACCCATCAGATTAAAAATCAGATTATTGGCAGCCACCAGAATAAAAATCTGATTTTTGGCACCCATCAGGTTAAAAATCTGATTATTGGCAGCCATCAGATTAAAAATCAGATGTATTAATTAACTTTTAGGTTAATTAATGAACTGAAATTGGGGTAGCAGCAGCTGCAGGCAGTACCTGGCGGTACAGGAAGGATTTGCTCTTCACCTTCACCTCCCAGAACTCCAGTCCCCTAAAAAAAACCAAAAAAAAGCATTTAAATAAAATTTCAGGTGGTTTTTAATCTCCCAGAACTCCAGTCCCCTTAAAAAAACACAAAAAAAGCATTTAAATCAAATTTCAAGTGGTTTTTAGCACATAAACCTCAGGTTAATGAGAGTAATTAACCTGCAGTGCCCCAATTAAGCTGAAACCTGGGACACAATTCTTTCCTAAAAATGACCAAAAAATCTGATAATCACATTAAATACATAAAATAAAAATAAATACATAAAAATACAAATAAATACATAAATATTTCAATATAAAAATATATATTAAATTTATATTAAATTTATAAATACTATATTTATATTTATAAATGTAATTATATTATTTTATATTTGTATTAAATATATATTTATATATATAAAATTTTATATATATAAAATTTATATTTTATATTTATATTAAATATATAAATACAGATAAATGGAGGTGGTCACACATCAGAAAAAAATCTGATATTCACATCAAATACATAAAAATACAAATAAATACAAAAAATCCACATTTCAATTTATAAATATATACATTTATATTAAATATATAAATACCCACAGATAAATGGAGGTGGTCACACATCAGAAAAAATCCGATATTCACATCAAATACATAAAAATAAATACTAAAAAATACAAATAAATACCAAAAACCAAAACAAACCCTAAAAAATCAATTCCCAAAAAACCTCTGGAAGCAGATTTTGAGGAAAAATCTGAATTTTTTTTTTTTGCTGTGCTCATAGGAAAAAAGCCCAGTGACTCTCAGTGGATGTGCTGAAGGAAAATCCAATTTTTTTATTCCTCAGTCATTAAATAAACAAAAATAAAAAGTTGAGGATCAGGTTTGTTCCTTCAGGCCTGGCAGGTATGGAAATGAAGTGGCTGAATTAAGCAGAAAATGGAGTTTTTTTGTTTTCCCAGAAAGATCAGGAATATTTTGGGAATATTTATCAGCTGAAAGTGAGATTTGGTGTGTGTGAGCCCTGAGAATCCCACCCTGCAGCCGGATTGTTGGCACCCATCAGAATAAAAATCCGATTAAAATCAGATTAAAAATCAGATTACTGGCACCCATCAAGTTAAAAATCAGATTAAAAGTCAGACTAAAAATCAGATTTAAAATCAGATTATTGGCAAACATCAGATTAAAAATCAGACGAAAAATCAGATTAAAAATCAGATTACTGGCACTCATGAGAATAAAAACCAGATTAAAAATCAGATTATTGGTGCCTATCAGATTGAAAATCAGATTATTGGCGCCCATCGGATTAAAAATCAGACTAAAAATCAGATTACAAATCAGATTAAAAATCGGATTATTGGCACCATCAGGGTAAAAATCAGATTACTGGCACTCATGAGAATAAAAACCAGATTAAAAATCAGATTATTGGCACCATTAGGTTAATAATCAGATTACAAATCAGATTATTGGCACCATTAGGTTAATAATCAGATTACAAATCAGATTATTGGCACCATCAGGTCAAAAATCAGATTAAAATCAGATTAATGGCACCCATGGGAATAAGCATCAGATTAAAAATCAGGTTAAAAATCAGATTACAAATCGATTATTGGCACCATTAGGTTAAAAATCAGATTACAAATCAGATTATTGGCACCATTAGGTTAAAAATCAGATTACAAATCAGATTAAAAATCAGATTATTGGCACCATCAGGTTAAAAATCAGATTACAAATCAGATTAATGGCACCCATGGGAATAAGAATCAGGTTAAAAATCAGACTAGTGGCGCCCACGGGAGCAAGGCCCAGGCCGTGGGTGTCCCCGGTGTCCCCGGCTGCCGTCACCTGTGCAGGCCGTGCTGGCCCAGCAGCGCCCGGCCCGGCTGCAGCTGCAGCAGCCGCAGCGTCCGCACGGGGCTCTGGCTGTCGGCGTGCGGCGAGCAGAAGGTGCTGAAGTCATGGGTGCCCAGCAGGAACTGCGCTGCTTCCCTCATGGCTGCGATGTCCAGGGGGCTGGAATGCAACAGAGCCCGGCTTAGGGCGCTGGGGCCCGGGGTGGGGGACTGGCGCTGGGGCACGCCCCACGGAGTAATGCCAGGCTCAAACCCCACAGAGTTACGCCAGGCTCAAACCCCACAGAGTTACACCAGGCTCAAACCCCACAGAGTAATGCCAGGCTCAAACCCCACAGAGTTACACCAGGCTCAAACCCCACAGAGTAATGCCAGGCTCAATCCCTAATAAATTACACCAGATTTAAACTCCAGTGAGTTACACCAGGCTCAAACCCCATAGAGTTATGGCAGGCTCAAACCCTAATAAATTACACCAGGCTCAAACCCCAAAGAATCATGCCAGGCTCAAATCCCATTAAATTAAGCCAGGCTCAAACTCTAAAGGAATTCCACCAGGCTCAAACCCCAAGGAATTACGCCAGCCTCAAACTCCAATTAATTAAACCAGATTTAAACCCCAAGGAATTACGCCAGGCTCAAACTCCAATTAATTAAACCAGATTTAAACCCCAAGGAATTACGCCAGGCTCAAACTCCAATAAATTAAGCCAGGCTCAAACCCCAGTGAATTCCACCAGGCTCAAACCCCAAGGAATTACGCCAGCCTCAAACTCCAATAAATTAAGCCAGGCTCAAACCCCAGTGAATTACGCCAGGCTCAACCCCAGACTGGTTTTAAGGAGGGAAATCAGAGCTCTGACCCATCTCCCTGCCCTCTGTGACTGCTCCAACATCCAGAAAAGGGTTTGGCCTTCCAGGTCCTGACTGGTCCACCAGGCTCAAACTCCAATAAATTAAACCAGGTTTAGACCCCAAGGAATTATGCCAGGCTCAAACCCCAGACTGGTTTTAAGGAGGGAAATCAGAGCTCTGACCCATCTCCCTGCCCTCTGTGACTGCTCCAACATCCAGAAAAGGGTTTGGCCTTCCAGGTCCTGACTGGTTTTCAGTCTGAGCAAAACGAACAACCCAAAACCCTGCCCAAATTCTACTTCAAGGGGTTTTTTTTTTGCCACCTCCAGGGATGGGCACCCCAAACCTCCCTGGGCAGCAATTCCCAGATGTAACAACTCTTTAAAAGGGGAAATTCCTCCCTAACCTCTCCTGGGACCCTTAAACCCTCCTGATGTCCAACTTAAACCCCAGCCTGAGGCCATTCCCTCTCCTCCTGTCCCTGCTCCCTGTCCCAGAGCCCAGCCTGGGGCTGTCCCCCCCTGTCAGGGATTTGTTCAGAGCCAAAAAATCCCTTTTTTCCCCACTTCCAGCCCTTATTCCCTAGTTTTCCTTGCAGAGGAGTCTCCCAGGGAGCCGTTCTCACCCTCCTGGAGGAGCCCAGCACAGATCCTGCTCGAAGACGGGGATTTGGGAGTGGTGGGCACAGCCCAGCAGCAGGCGGTAGATGTAGGTCCTGGAGAGGGCACAGAAACGGGCATGGAAGGTGCTGGGAACCCGCTGGGCACTGAGGATGCTGTGGACAGAGGGGACACGTGACAGGGACACAAATTCCAAAGCTTTTTCATTGACAGGGACACAAATTCCAAAGCTTTTTCATTAACAGGGACACTGAAATTCCAGAGGTTTCCCACTGGGAGGTGCTGGGAACCCGCTGGGCACTGAGGATGCTGTGGGACAGAGAGGACACGTGACAGGACAGAAATTCCAAAGCTTTTCCATCAACACGGGACACAGAAATTCCAAAGGTTTTTCACTGAAAGGTGCTGGGCACTGAGGATGCTGTGGGACAGAGGGGACAGGTGACAGGGACACAAATTCCAAAGGTTTTCTACTGACAGAGACACTGAAATTCCAAAGCTTTTCCATTGACAGGGACACCAATTCCAAAGCTTTTCTACTGACAGAGACACCAAAATTCCAAAGCTTTTCCATTGACAGGGACACAAATTCAAAAGTTTTCCATTGACAGGGACACCAATTCCAAAGCTATTCCATTGACAGGGACACCAAAATTCCAAAGATTTTCCATTGGAAGGTGCTGGACACTGAAGATATTGTGGGACACAAGGGAAAGTGACAGGGACACAGAAATTCCAAAGATTTTCCATTGGAAGGTGCTGGACACTGAAGATATTGTGGGACACAAGGGAAAGTGACAGGGACACAGAAATTCCAAAGGTTTTCCTCTGGAAGGTGCTGGGCACTGAGGATGCTGTGGGACACAAGGGACAGGTGACAGGGACACAGAAATTCCAAAGATTTTCCATGGGAAGGTGCTGGGCATTGAGGATACTGTGAGACACAAAAAATTCCAAAGCTTTTCCATCAACAGGGACAAAAAAAATTCCAAAGATTTTCCATTGACAGAGACACAGAAATTCCAAAGATTTTCCATTGGAAGGTGCTGGGCATTGAGGATGCTGTGGGACACAATAATTCCAAAGCTTTTCCATCGACAGGGACACAAAAATTCCAAAGCTTTTCCACTGGAAGCTGCTGGAAACGCGCTGGGCACTGAGGATGCTGTGGGACACAGGGACAGGGACACAGAAATTCCAGAGTGAGAGGGAAGAATTCCCCTCTGCCCACCCCCGAGGCAGCTCCTCGAGCCGAAGGAGAGGCTTCGAAGGAGGCCACTTCCCCAGGACCTGCAGGGCTTTGTGCAGCCAGGAAAATTCAGGAAAATCCCAACATCAGAGGGGTGGGGTGGGAGTGAACCCAGCAGAATCCTCTCAGCCCCAAAAGCCATTCCCTGCCGTGTCCACCCAGCTCCCACCGACGCCACAGAACCCAAAAAGGAGCTCCCCAGGCAGCTGAGCTTTCCCTGTTTTCCTCCACAGGCAGCAGGGAGAAAATTCCCTGTTCCTGCAAAGCCAAAATCACCGCCCCACACAGCCTGGCAGCCAGCAAGGAGGGGCCCAGAGACCAAATTCTCCCTGCCAAGGAAGGAAATGGAGCTTTCCTGAGCTCCTGCAGCTCTCCCAAAATCTCCTCATGCACTGGCTGTGACTCTCCCTTATCCCAAAATTCTGCTGCTCTCCATCCTGCAGGAAAAACCCAGCAGGGAGCCCCTGCACGGAGCCACAACCCCTGCAGGTGCTGCTTTAGAGCAGAGCTCTCCTTACAAGGGAGTTTTTCTCCTGCTCTTTTGCCTCCCTGCCTTTGGAATTTAGTGAGGAGAAAGGAGCCAGGGCAGCCAAAAAAACAGGACGGATTTGGGACCACAAATGTCTTTATTTACTTGAAGGAAGGTTGGTGCTCTGGGGATTTTTTGCCAGCTCAAGAGCCTCTGGCTCACAGCCCTCCCTCCCCTGGCTCAGACCACAGAGGGAGAAACGAAAGCCGAGCCACAAAGATTTGCAAAAACAAGGCCAGGAATTGCTGCAGAGCCACAAACCATCAGGAGAAATGCAAACTCCATCCTTCCAAGGTTTGAAGGCAGGACCTCCAGGCTGCTCTAAACACAAGAATAAAACATTTCTTTCCCTCTGTCTGCGTGCCTCCACAAGCACACAGTCTGTCTGGAGCTAACACTCGTGTGGTTTTTATTAAATAACCATTCCTTTTAGGAAGATTCTTTCAGAGCAGCTTATTTCTGCTCACCAAATTCCTCAGTGCAGGCAGCTTTTCCTGTTCTAATTGTTCTTTTTAGCCAGGAATGTTCTTCCAGAATTTTCTCCAGCAGCCGCATTTCAGATCCCATTTTTTAAAAATGATGGAAAAATAAAGCGATCCCATTTTTTAAAAGTTATGGTAAATAAAGAACTGTGGCATTTTTTAGCATTTCCAATAGGGCCTGAATTTTGAGATCAAAGGCAAAAAAAAAAAAGCCCAAAGACATTTAGAAATGGCAAAGTATGAGGGAAAAAAATGCTCTGCTCTCTCCACGACAGCACTGGAAGGCAGTTTGCAGGAGGTGGGAGGAAAGGCAGCTCTGCCTGTCACTCAGGAATCTTTAATTGCGAGTTCCACAAGCAGGAACAGGAGGTGTGAGACTCCCACACTGCCCGGCCCACCCTGGGGACAGCAGAGCCCTCCTGAAACGCCTCCAGCTCCCAAATACGCTCCGAGTTTTGGGGGATGCTGCTGGAGTCTGAAATGTAAAGAGCTCTCAGGCCTGGAAGCCAAAGCTTGGAATTAAACCCAGGATTTGATTTTAGACCTTCCAGACTTAGGGGTTACAGGTGAGAATGTGAATTTGTAGTGAATATAAATAGTGAATGTAAATAGTGAATTCACTATATAATAGTGAATTTATACAGATATAATATAGATATAACATATAATATATACAGATATAATATACATAGATGTAATATTTTAGAATATATAATAGAATATATAGATATAATATTTAGAATAGATAATATTGTAATGTATAATAATTATATTACAATATATAATATATAACATAACATTATTATATTATAATGTATTATATTATATCATATATTTTCTATTATATATTATATATTATATATTATAAAGTATATATTATATAGTATATATTATATATTATATATTATATATTTTCTATTATATAGTATATATTATATATTATATATTTCCTATTTTCTATTATATATTATATATTATATATTACATATTATATATTATATATTTTCTATTATATATTTTCTATTATATATTTTCTATTATATATTTTCTCTACAGCAAAAATACGGCAAAAATGTAGCAATAATTCGGCAAAAATTCGGCAAAAATCAACAGAAATACAGCCATAATTCTGCAATAATTCGGGGGAAATTCAGTACTAATTCGGCAAAAATACAGCAAAAATGCAGCAAAAATACGGCAAAAATACAGCAAAAACGCAGCAAAAATACAGCAATAATGCAGCAAAAATACAGCAAAAATGCAGCAAAAATACAGCAAAAATCTAGCAATAATTTGGCAAAAATTCAGTAAAATTCAAGTAGAAATTCAGCCATAATTCTGCAATAATTCGGGGAAAATTCAGCACTAATTCGGGGAAAATTCAGCAATAATTCAGCAATCATTCAGCAATGATTTAGTAATAATACAGCAGTAATTCAGCAAAAATCCAGCAATAATTCAACAAATATTCAGCAAAACACCAGCAAAAATTCAGCCATGAGTCAGCAATAATTCAGAAAAAAAATCCTGGCTCACCACACCTTGTGCTGCTCCCAGAGGAGTTTGGAGTTACTGTGGGCTGAAAAGAACTGAGGGTTTGGGAGAATTTCTCCTAAAATCAGTGTTTTTTCAGCTTCTGCCCTGAAATCACCTCAAACAGAGGATCCAAAATGCCACGAGAGCTTCCTTAGGGGGATAAAATAAAGTCAAAAATAAACTCATCTCTATCCCCTGCTTTGTGTCATGTGAGCTTCCTTCAGTGCACAAAATAAGTGAAAAATGTTCATTTCTTTATCTGCTTTGTGTCGTGTGAGCTTCCTTCAGTGCACAAAATAAGTGAAAAATGTTCATTTCTTTATCTGCTTTGTGTCGTGTGAGCTTCCTTCAGTGCACAAAATAAGTGAAAAATGTTCATTTCTTTATCTGCTTTGTGTCGTGTGAGCTTCCTTCAGTGCACAAAATAAGTGAAAAATGTTCATTTCTTTATCCTCTGCTTTGTGTTTTTGGGTGAGGGGGATAAAAGACAGAGGATCACCCATTTCAGCTCATTTCAACCCAAACCCCAGACAGAAAATCCAGTGAAAAATACTGCAGGGAATAAGTGAAACATGTAAAAGAGTGAAAAACCACAAAAGAAGGCAGGAAACCAAAGGCATGACTCAAAATTTCCTTCTCCTTCCCATCCCCACTCCCGAGCACTGAACCCAACGGTTTTTATTGGATTTTAATTTGGTCCAAGAGTCAATAAAATCCGAATTGCTGACTCACAAATACCTTCCAGGCTCCTGTAGGAGCAGTCAGGGTTGTGAGCTCTCAGAAATGTTCCATGAAAACGCACAGGGAGGCAGAAAAAAAACGTAACCAAGCCGCAGGGGGAGGCCTGGGAAACAGAACCAGACTGGTTTTTCCCTTCCATTTGCAGCTCACATGTGGTTACAATTAACAGTGAAAAAAAAATAATAAAAAAATCTGTATTTATCACCCCCAAGCAGAGAGGAGCAGACAGAAATGAAATCAGTTTCCTGCAGCAGACCTCGGCCTGTGCCTCAGCAATTTGTCTGAGAGCAGGAGATGATTTTGAAGAGAAAGTTCCTCCAGAGATGTTTGGGTTTTGCAGGCTCCTCCCTCCCTCTCTCCACCCTTTTCTCCCCCTCCTTCCTCAGCAGACAAAAACCAGCCAGTGGAAACAGGAGTTGAGAGAGACAACAGGAGAGAACATGGAAAATATCCTTTTTTTTTTTTTATTTTTGGGTGCATCCCAGCTCCACCTGGATAATCAGGAACCAAGCTGGATCAGCACAACACTGAATTTCTCCACTGGAAACCAGACTGGAGAGGAAAAGAGGAGCAGAGCCTCAAGTAAATCTGATTATTTCCCCAGCAAAATCCACAAAG